TGTGTATATAATTCATTGAGTGATAGTCACTTCATTTCTGTCAGATAGAAGCTCTACTTCTGTCACTGTCATTGTTTCATTGCTTGAGCGCCAGAAGAAAGGGCCCTAGCCGGCGGGGCCCAGCGAGGACAAAAGGAGGTCCCACAAAGCGCCTACACCGGCCGCATTTGCGGTCGGGGTAGACGACGGATGGGGCCCACCTACGAAGGCTGCCCAGGCCTACACGAGATGAGGCAGGATAAAGAGGGACAATCCCCCACGATCCCAAATCATCGAGGCCAATTTCTGGCCATGGAATAATGACGCGCGCGACGCTTGAGCCTGGAAAAACGGATTGGACGGCAACATTTAATTTTGTTTTCTGCGAGATTTCTTTTTTTTTTCTATAACTTCGTACTCATTGTATAATATAATTTTATTGTCTTATCTATTCGCATCTTGTTTTCCGTTATTTTCCACCTCTACTCCTAAGTACTGAAAGACATCAACTTGCTGTATATTTTAATTTCCTACTTTTATATTCACGTTTTCTTGTTTTCACTTCCTATCATCATCACTCTCGTTTTCTTTTTATTCATTTTCATTCCATTTTCTTCAAGTATCAAGTTCCATATATTTAAATTTGTGCCCTATAAATCTTTCTTAGTTCCCGCCATGATTACCACATCATCAACAAATGCTCCCTCTGAAATGTCTATCCTTTGTAAGTTCCTATATCCAACGTTTAACTTTTTTATTTCTAGTGCACATTTTTTTATTATCTCATCCATAAATAGTATGAAAAGCGTCGGGCTTAAACCCCCCCCCTGTCTTAGACCTTCTTTTGTCGTAAAAGCATCTGACTTCATGTTATTTCTTATCACAAAATTGATATTGTTCTTATATATATTCTGTATTATTCTTATTGTCTTTTCATTTACTCCTTTTTTATTTAAACTTTCCCATACTTTTTCCCGAGGTACCTTATCGAAAGCCTTTTCTAAATCAGTAAATGGCAGAAATATTTTATTTTGTTTCATATTGGTTTTCTTTATTATTTGCTTGATAGTGAGTATGTGATCTTGTGTACTTCTTCCTTTTCTGAATCCACTTTGTGATTCCTCTAATGTATTTTCTATTATTGGTTTAATTTTTCTATCAATTATTTTTTCGTATATTTTCATAGCTGTGCTCAACAATGTTATTCCTCTATAGTTACTACATTCTTTAATATCTCCCTTTTTATGTATTGGTACTGATACTATTAATGAAATTTGCCAATCTTTTGGTGTCTGTTCATATCTCCAGGCTTTATTATATATTTTGAGTAATATATCCAGACCCTTTTCTCCTAAGTGTTTTATCATTTCTACAGTTATTTTATCTTCCCCTGGTGCTTTACCATTATTCAAATCTTTAATTGTCTCTTTTAGTTCTTCTAGCGTTATTACTTCTTCATTTTCTTCTAGGTCTCTTATGTACATTTGTCTCCATATTTTCTGATGCATTTAGCAATTCCTCTAAGTACTCTCTCCATCTTGCCATTATTTCTTTTTCATCTGTTAAAGTATCGCCGTTTTTACTTTTGACATGTAATGTACTAAGTATATGTTTCTGTTGACCTTAATGATTTAAGCACTGTATAAAACAGTTTTTGATTATTTTTACTATTTATTAATTTCAATAACGTATTGCATAACACTATTTAATATTTTTCAGCCTTAAATAAAAGTAATAAGAATACAAATTTATATGCTTTTAAAACTGTGTACATAGGCTATGTTCGTAATTTTGGACATTTTTTTAAATAACATTGGCGTATTTATTAAACAAAAAATCGTCACTATTCGCTTATTTATACGGCACAACTGAATTATTTTGTTTCATAAAAAAAAAGTTTATTACATAATTATTTATTGTAGTGGTTTCTGCAGTTTATTCGATAATATAAAAAAATGGTATAAAATATCTATAGGAGACCAATCCGATAATGATGTCCACGATTCTAGGAAGGCTCTTATCAAGTATAATTTTGAAACATTTTTATTGAATATTAACACAAGATGAATTAATAGAAGAGTTAGTGAAGGTACAGATTATGAAAAAAAACTCAAGATACACTTATTTATTTATTTATTTATTAAAATTTACACTATACCATAACGGTTTTTAATATTTAGCTATTTACAAATATAGTATTTCTAAGAATATATATATTGTATTACTGTAATAAACATAATAGTCTAAGATCCCGACTTAGATCGTCCTTCACCCATCGAGTTTTCTAATGAAAATTGAATTTTGATAATATAATGTATTAATAGACAAAACTTGATTTGATCGACATCCAATTTCTCTGCACAGCTATTTTTAATAAATAATTAAAGTTCAATTCAATTCAAAATTAAAGTTCAATTCAAAGTTACCTGTTTATACCTGTCTACTTGGTTTTATACAAGGAATAAAAATGTTGACCAAACTGGCATATTGTATACATATTTTACCTTCGATTGGTAATAAATTTATCCAAAAACTCAATAACTACATTCATAAAAAAAAAATTTACTTTAATTTTTTATTAAAAATAGCTGTGCAGAGAAATTGGATGTCGACCAAATCAAGTTTTGTTTAATACTTTATATTATCAAAATTCGAATTTCATTAGAAAACTAGATGGATGATGGTTAATCTAAGTAGGGATCTTGTACTATAACATTTATTGGTTTTTAAAAGTGATAAGTTTTGTAAATTTACTTCTTACTGACACATTAACTAATTTGGATGCCTCATGATGAACTCTCACAGTAATATACCTACTTTAAGCAAATCAATTTAATTAATTCTACTCTGTGGTTGTCCAAAATATTCTGCGTTTTTATATGTTCCACCATATAACTATCAGAAAAAACATGTACATTGTATAAAATTTTGTTTACAATTACTTTTTCAAAATGTTTAATTTTTTTAATAGAACATTCCATTTGCCTAATAAGTACTTCAATCGCCTTACAAATATTTATAACATCATACGATGGTATAACATAGGACCCCCTATTTTTCAGATGAGTTAATAGTACTTTATCTTTTCCTACTAATGTTTTCTACAAATTTCACATGTAATTTTTTTTTTAAATTTGCGAGGAAATAAATCCTGCTATATATGAAGTGACATCTTCTACGTAAGGAGAGAGTTCGTATAACGTTTTTATATCATCGTGGTCAAATAAGGTGTTATCATCTGTTGCTACATTTTCATTTGTCTCGCAAAACGGATCTGTTATTTTATTTGAGTAGTAATTTACAATCGGAACATGGTCCAACTGGCAACTGCCATCTTGAGAGGCACGCACCTCATTTTGTACAAGGAGCCTTTTATACGCCGCCTCAAATTGAATGGTGTTCGGGCTATTATTAAAGCCACCCCTACTTCTTATTGCCCCAAAGAATGTCTCGATATGGTCCTGACTCAATTTAAAAGTCAGTAGATATTTTAAATTGTGCTTTTTCAAGTCATTGTAAAGTGGAAACATGTTACACAAACATATTATAAAACCAAGGAACCCAGTTTTTCTATTGCTGTCAATGATTCTGGTTCCACTTGAATCTTTTAAGCCCAATAAATATTGTATAAAATATTCGCTACTATTTTTTAAGAAGTTATAATTATCTTCATTTAAGGCAAGATAGTGAGTTTTACGTTTATGAAACTGGTATCTGCAATTTAACATATCAAATATGTTATTAATATAATAAACAAAAGCAGTTGGAAGAGCATCTTTAAAAGTAGGTATCATTTTTTTGTAAATATATGAGTGCACTGTGCACAAATTCGCTTAAAACTTGTGCCGCAAGTCTAATACGCATTTTATTGTCATAATAACAAATATGCTGTTTATTAATTTTACACCTTAAATGAAGCCCCTCCTGTTTTTGAATTTTCTATGAAGTCCCACATTATGGGTAAGTTTTCTTCATCGTAGAGAACTTTTTGTCTCCAAATGTGTTGCGAACAAGCTTTATCATATGACAAGCATCCCAAAATACATAAACATTTTCTTTTGTAACTGGATGAGAAAAATAGGGTTTAAAAGCAAATCCGTATTCAAAATTGGCACCTAAACATTTAGCCATTGACAGATTCGCACTAGCCCCATCAAAGCAAATTGACTGGCAAATTGTGCCAGTTTCATGAAACGATACGAAACAAGTTTTTAATAAATTTGCCCCTTCCATTCCATTGAGTGATTTAATTAAAAAGTAACCCTAAGATCAACTGCCATAAAAACAAGGGCACTTTTGGCAAGGGGGCAAGAATCCGTGGGAATGTCTCCACTTCCCAAGTCAACATATCCAAATAATCTGCTGCCTTTATAAAGTATTTGGCTTCGTACTGACATTTCATCTATTGTGATGTTGCAAATAACTGATTCATTTTTTGATTTTTCTTTTAAAATTTGAAATGCTTCCTGAGTAAAACCAGGTCTTCCATTGACAATGGTGTACCACCGTCTCAAAGTTGACGGATGAGGTAGCAGGTTTCCCCATTGTCTTACATAGTTATATGCTCTGGATGANTTCGACACAAAGTATATTCTCACGTTTACTATATGGCAGGCCCGGTCTGGCTCTTTCAGGGGCCGTCGGGAAAAATCGAAATCGGGGCCTATTTGGTTTTGTCTGTTATTAGGGTGCATATCGACTCTCCCAAGGAAAACTGTCGTATCTCAAATTTGGTTATACTGAGATAATTGCATTTGAATAGTTCAGAAAATAATAATGTTCGTTATTTTGTTTTATTACAAGAGCTAAATCGTTCTTCTTTAACAAAGAAATTATTGTATAGGTCTTAACTAATTATTGATTATCTAAATAATACAGTTTAGGATAAGAAAAAAATGGATTTTGGAAGAGTTACTACAGTTTTCGTGGACAAAATTTTTATTGAGAAACAACTTGCTACATTAATAAGGTACAGAAAAATTAAACATTTTCTACTTTTAGATAAAAAAATAAGTGTTAATAATCAATAATGACATAAAAGGAAAATTTATTACAATTCAGTCAGAGTCATCTTCTTGGTCAATATTACTTTCTTCCTGGTGGTTAGTCTTACTAGCAGGCCGAAGGGAGTTGTAAAATCCATGATACATCGGTGGTATAAAATTAGCCTTACACAGACTCAAAATACTGCTTAATTCTTTACCATCAATTGGCAGCAACTCTTGATACAATCTTGGAAATTGATATTCTTCACGTTTGCGTGTATTTTTTGTTTGTAAGTCTAGTTCTTTATGATTTTCTCCAAAATTATACACAAAAAATATTTTATTGGGAGACTGGATTGCAGTGGATTTCTCTGATTTTGCTGATTTTTACAGCCTCTCCAGTAATATCTTTTTTCCAGTTTTGTTTCTTTACCATTGGTTTAAAAGTTACAAAATCTTCTTGAGACATTTCTTTTTCTTTGTACTGTGGGGCAGTAACTTTGGCCAGTTTTATTAGACTAATCCACTGATCAGGACTATCAGGAGTGCATATAACAGTGATGTTTTTTTTTGCAACTTCAATCATAGCATGCATGCTGTCATTTTATTCTGCGTGTAGCCAATTTCAAAAAAACGGTGTGTTATTTCCAAATCCAAAGTCAGTGATGCATAAGCAAACATCGCAAAAACAAAACGATTACGGTTTTGACCACCGCAATTGTCGGAATAAAGAATAACCATTCGTATGCCATTTTCTTTAACCTTTTTAAAAAGATCTATAAACAACTTCCAATTTCATCCGGTCCTCTCTTCGATATTTACTCATGCAATACATAGCAATAGCCTTGATTGCTGCCTAAATAATAAATTGTAAAGTTGTATGTTGCGATTTTACTTTTATAATAAAAATCGTTCTTCTGACTTGGGCGTTACTAACACCTTCTGCAAATCAAAGCATGATGTTATTAGGATTTATCATTTTTCGAAAATTCTTTATGAATGTCTCAGATTTCGGACCGCAATTTTGTGCATTCGTGAAATACTGAAACCTTCTTCCAAATACATTTGTTTTAAGTTTTTTCTTGTATAATGAGAAGGCATAAGAGGAAAAAGTTGTATGTGTTCCATAATGCTTTTTATTAGAGCATCCAGGTTCTTATGCAGTCTAGTGTTGTGTTTTTCTCTTCTGTCCCGTTTTACAGTACCGTCTTCGCGCCTTCACCAATTTTTTGCAAAGCGGCAAGCATATTTAAGAACATCGTTTTGCAAATTTGTTTCTCATTATTGTTAATAATTGCGAGATAAATTCCTTCTGGAATATTCATTATGAACAGTAACCTGCTTTTTTTCTCGTTGTGTCACGCACCTTACAAGAAAATCCCACTGCCGAGTATGATCTCCAAGGTTCCAAAATTCGTCAAAAATGACTTCTAGCTTATTCATTTATACCTGCAAGATTCCTTACAAGGTGATTTCAATACCTTTGCAAAAATAAGTTTGTCTTTACGATTTTTATGTAATAAAAATTTCATTCAAATTTTAGGAGCAGCGGAGGATACCATGCCTGTCCTGGGCTACAGGCCAAATTTAACTCAGTGGCGCCCAAAGAAAGAGAGAGAGTAGTGAGAGAAAGATAGTGGATCTTTTTAAAGAAGCGATGGAAAATGTAGTAGCAATAAGAAATGTACCTAGAGCAGAAGTTAGAAGGCCGGAATTTGATCCGGTCTTTACAGGGACGGACAAGGAAAATCCGAAGAAGTTTTTAGAGAAAATTAAAGAAATTTGCATAAAAGAAAAATACAAGGAACAAAATTGGACTAAGTTTGCAGTGACCAGACTACGTGGGGAAGCAGAGAAGTGGTATTTGATGTACAAGTACTTTGACTGGACCTTCCAAGAGTTTGCCACAAACTTGTTAAATAAATTCGACAATGAATACCTAAGAATAAAATTGCAACAGGATTTGTTCTGTAAGAACCAAGGAAGGGAGGAAATTACAGCTTTTATAGCGCAAAAAATGGCCCTATACAAAAGACTAGAGGTTGGAATACCTGAATATATGTTGGTACCTCAGTTACGGGTACAAATGAGACCTGAAATTCAAATGGCCCTGGCGGGCAGAGTGATAGGGGATGTTGAAGAACTCATGAGAGTAGCACATGAAGTGGAATTGCAGGTAAAATTTTTGAGTGAAGATCGACGACCAGGATTGGCGTCTGGACAGGAATTGGTGCCAGTGGGACCACGAGCGCGACAAGCAAATATTGGATGCAGGAATTGTGGGTGGAATCACTGGGCAGGAGACTGTCCGAGAAGAGCAGTGGCTGGGCCAAGTCATGCGGAAGGTCGGCGTCCTTTGCCGGAAATAAGAGAACAAGGCGAGGAGAGAGTAGAACCAGAACCGGTTCGTGGGTCGGCACAACCGGGAAACTAGAGGTGGACCACTACGAAGGAGCCAGTAGTGGGTCCCTGGAAGTGGGCTCCGCACAAAAGGGAAGTGGAAGAAGTCAATTACCCAGGATTTGGATGGAATACCAAGGAAGTGAAATAGTGTCAGTGATCGATACTGGGGCATCGAATTCGTTTCTGAGGACCAGTTATTATAAACAAAAGTTACCTACCACTGGTGAAAATGTGTGGTTGGCTAATGGCCAAGAGTTTGGGCGAAAGGACCATAGAAATAGAGGTACAAATAGGAGGACATGAAACCGGAGTTAGAGTATTTTTGATAGAGAACCTAAAGGAGGAACTAGTCCTTGGAGTAGATTGGCTGCAAAATGAAGAGGCAACTCTGGACCGTAAGCAAGGCGGAGTATATTATGGTAAACAAAAGAGAAGGGGGGCATATTGGTGTATGGCCGAAAATAGAGAAGCAATATATAGCCCAGTTCAACTTGACGAAGATCATTGTTTGGTAGAATGGATACCTCACTATGAGGGGATTCTGTACGAATTCCCTGATGTATTTAGAGAAGATTCGTTACGACCTTGCACGAATTTAGTGCAACATCGGATAAAATTATGTGATGATAGACCGTTTCGTATCAAACGATATAAGTTTTCACCCAAAAAGAGACAAATAATTAAGGAAGTAGACAATGTTACGAACTGGAATCATACAATGTAGCTCTTCTTTTTATAGTTCCCCTATTGTCATCATAAAAAAACCTGATGGAACAAATAGGTTCTGCATAGATTATAGGCAGTTAAATGGAATCACTGAAAATGAAGTTTTGGTGTTGCCACCGATACCTGACATCTTAAAAGACCTTGGAACCGCAACAGTATTTACCTCGTTGGACCTAAAAGAGTGGGTACTGGCAGGTGCCTATGGAACCTGCCAGTATACCCATTACAGCTTTTCATACTCCAGATGGTGCACTGTATGAATTTGTGGTGATGCCGTTTGTCCTGAAAAATGCACCAACTACATTTCAGCGATTAATGGTGGAGGTGTTAGCTGGTTACGTAGACCTATTTGTTCATATATATCTTGATGATATAATTATTTATTCCGACACGAGGCGGATTTCGATCTGCCGAGTCAAGCATCAAGGACGTGGGCCGGAATTTGGATGGGTGACCTAAGGCAGGCTCGGGGGCGTGGCTGTGGCAGCCTACCAAGAGACCTGGGTCGCCCAACATTTGCCGCACGCGTGTGGTCCTCGATAAATGGTAATGAGAACAGAGCAAGAAATCTCTGTAACTCAAGACCATGCTATCATACATTAACTGTACGAGACTTTGCCACCAAGCCATCGGTGTAGTAAATAAGATGGTTTGAAGAAAAGTACTCGAGTAATAAAGGAGGGTGTACAAGGGGCCTAAAAAGGCCTAAGTGCCGGTGGAAGACAATTCCACCACCCTCCGACATACATACATACATACTCCGACACGAGGGAAGAGCATAAACGACATTTACATCTGGTTTTGGAACGATTAAGGTGCCACGGGCTGACGTGTGCCTTAAAAAAGTGCAAATTTGGAATGGATTCGCTTAACTACTTGGGGCACCACGTAACAGCGTCGCACAACTAAGCATCTCGAGAAAGTCCAGCATTTTCAAAGTCCAACATCTCAAAAAGACCTTCAGAAATTTCTGGGATTAGCTAATTGGTTGCAGGAATATGTCCCGAACTACTCCCGAATCGCAATACCAATGACGAATCTCTTGGGGAAGCGTAAGTTCAGATGGAGCCCAGAAGCAAAAGAAGCCTTCCAGAAATTGGAACAGGCACTAATACAGCCATTAAAGTTACATAGATCCCGACTTTGAAAAAGAATTCATTTTGCAAACGGACGCCAATGCCGTTGGTATGGGGGCGGTCCTGTACCAAGAAGGTCCCGAAAAACAGAAATTAGTAATCTCATGTGCTAGTGCGAAATTTAGTGGGGCGAAGAGCCGATATCATTGCAACGAGCAGGAGGTCCTGGCGGCCGTCTGGGCATGCAGGCGATACAGGCCCCTGCTCGAAAACCAACAATTTGTGCTAAGAACCGATAGTCGGACCCTGCTATGGCTCGACCGCTATAAAGAGGAAAGGGCTAAGTTAACCAGATATTCTCTACTCTTACAAGAGTTCAATTTTCGGGTGGAGCATTATCCGGGAAAGAATAACCTTCCGGATTTTTTGAGTCGGAATCCGTGTGAAGAAATAGCGGAACAGTTTGACGAGGAGAGGATTAGCCCCGCCATCTCAAAATGTAGAGGTGCGAGACGTCTCGATGTCATTGAGTACTACCCGATTAGACATGAAATCCAATATTGAGACTACTTCCCGAATACCGCCCGTTTTTCTCCAGGCTATATCGTTAAACCAGATTGTTGACCCGAATGAAACGTTATATGACACAATTGTGAGAGCACAATTGGAAAGCCCGGAATATGCCACAACCAAGAGAAGAATAGTACGGTTACAGAATGAAGAGGACAAGGCAGTGTTACCTTGGCCATGAACATTGAAAGAGCAATACCTAGTAAGAGGCAACCTGATTTGGTTTCGAGGCGATGGAGAGCGACTAAGATTAGTAGTCCCTCTGGATCTCTGGCCACGAGTGATCAATGAATTCCATGATAGTCCACGAGTCGGTCATCTCGGGCGGGATGAAACCCTCCGGGCAATCACCAATGTTTACTATTGGCCAGCTGTCCGAAGACAGGTAAAAACCAATGTTCGGCACTGTTTAGTATGTGCATCAACAAAACGGGGGGGAGCTGCCCAGGAGAAGGCGCCTCTCAAGCCTAGGCCGCCACAGCGCCCATGGCAAACCGTAAGTGTTGATATTATGGGACCCTATGAGCAAACAAGGAAGAGGAACCGTGTTGGTCGATCTGTGTTCTAAGTAGGTCGAGGCGATCCCGGCGCCTAGAGTGCGCCCCGGAGTAATGATAAAAATTTTGGAATCAATCTTCGAAAGATGGGGATACCCTGAGACAATAATTAGTGACAACGGGCCAACCTTCCGAAGCAGAGTGTTTACTCAGTACCTTACTAAGAATTTTATGTCAATATTTTTCGCCTGCTTATCATCGAACGTAGGAATCAAGAAATAAAGAAATTGCTTCGTGTGCATTGTGAGCAGCATGGTGAAGATAAGTGGGATAGCGACATTAATCAGATACTTTTTATCTTACGAAATCGACGAAACTCGGCTATAGGCACTAGCCCCAGCATAGCTCTATTGGGGACACCGATAACTAAACCCGGAGAGTGGCGACACCCCGCTTTTCAAGGTCAAGCTAGAAACCAACCAGATCAGCATGAACAGATACTTAGGCAGATTCGCGTGAGACAGATAGTGTTTAATCGTGAACTGTTTCCGAGACAAGACGTTCCGAAAGTGCGACTCCAAGTTGGGGACAAAGTATTAGTGCGGCAGCCGGCAAATACGCAGACACCATTGGGGCTTACGTAGTCTGGACCTCATGTAACAGTGCGCGTGTGTGGGCTTCTACGAGGTGAAAAAAAAAACGTCAGATTACGTTACTTCATATTGACATATATACAAATAGAAGTTAACAGAGGAACGACTGATTTAAAATACAAGACTGATTACAACGGAGACTTTAAAATATTTAAAAAAAAATTATTTAAAAGTTAAAGTTGCCAAAAAAGATATTCCTGATCCGATTCCATGTGAAAAAAAAAAAATGGGATAAGTAAAGCCAAGAAAGATGCGATTTTGAAAAATATTTGTCCTTTGATACCTGATGATCATAAAGTTTTCTGGCAAAATTTACCAGAAAAATAACTGATTTTTTAAATTAAAAGTGATATTTTTTCAGTTACTAGATACACTTTGTTGAGGTTAGAACCTTCACTTTAATTTTGTTTAAAAAATTTCCATGTGATTAAACCTGTTTTTTTTTTCGAAAATATTATAATTCTTAGATTTAAAAAAATAATCATTGTTTAATTTCTAGGACTGTTTTTTTCATTAGTTGATAATTCGAAAGTTTCAAAAAATTAAATAATTGTTAAATATTTGTATTCATCGTTACATAATTAACAATATAATTGTTATTATGTAAAGTATTAATCATATCTACAAAAATTAGAAAATTACAATTAGTATTCTACATTTTGTGATTTAACGGTGATAAGATAATGATTTTTGTACCTATTTGTGTTTATTTTTCGATCAATAAAATATATATTAAAANTAAATAACAATATAATTGTTATTATGTAAAGTATTAATCATATCTACAAAAATTAGAAAATTACAATTAGTATTCTACATTTTGTGATTTAACGGTGATAAGATAATGATTTTTGTACCTATTTGTGTTTATTTTTCGATCAATAAAATATATATTAAAAAAAAATGTTATTCCGCATTACTGCGCTTGTGTGAACAAAATAATTTATATCGCCACAGCCGAATAAAAGAAGCGGATGTGAAGCGACCGAAGTTAGTTGGAAATCTGAGTCAGAGCGAGATGCTAGCAATTTCGAGAGACATAACTTTGGCTTAAAGTCATTGAGAAGTAGTAGATTAGACATTTTTTTAGTCAACATATGTAGACGTGACAGTTTAATAATAGTTAACGTGAGTNGTGAAGCGACCGAAGTTAGTTGGAAATCTGAGTCAGAGCGAGATGCTAGCAATTTCGAGAGACATAACTTTGGCTTAAAGTCATTGAGAAGTAGTAGATTAGACATTTTTTTAGTCAACGTGTGTAGACGTGACAGTTTAATAATAGTTAACGTGAGTAAAGTGTGTTGGTAGCGTTATATAGTCAATTACTAGTAACTGGTGGTAAAGGTTGCATCATTCATGAGATAACGAATGATAGTAACAGAAAACAGTTGTAAATTGGTACGACGTGGGACAATTGTAGTGGAACACTCGTCAGACGTGAAGTTTGCGAGTAGTTAGAGGGGAAAAACTGTTATAACACGTTGTGAAAGCGTGGAGCGGCGAGAGAAGCCGTGTTACGCGAAAAACTGAAAGGAAAAGTTGTTATACGCGACGTGAACGCAAAATAGAGTAAGTTAGGGAAGTACAAACTTAGATAGAATCATAAGAACTAATCGTGTTAGTGAGTAACGGAGAGAAATCGGGAAAAAGGCGTAAAAAAACTGTATAAACCTCAGATAAAATCTGAGACACCCTGTTTTCCCGATACGTTTTTCTAACCAAGGTAACATCATACAAGGATGATTAAATTTGATGTTCAGTAAAAGTACCTCGTTTCGGTGTGCGCAGAACTTATCTCCGATAGTGTCTACACCAAAGGTTCCAACCCATCTTCTAATATTAACTAACTATAACCATTATAACTTTACCATCGCCACAATTTTCACTTATTAATGCCTTAGATTTTAATTTTTCTACAAGTTCCTTCAATGTCGATATCTTCTTTACAAGTCGTCTTTTATCTTGCTGCAATTTTTTAATCCTATACCGAAGTTGACCTTGAACATATCGGGACTGGTAGAGAGCTCTCTTAGCACGTCTTGGTGTTGCAACATCTGGGCTTGATCTTCTGATTCTCTTATTCTTTCTAGGTGTAGAAACATTAACATCTTCACCTGACAATGGATCACTTTCTAAGGCAGAAGTTGAGGGTAATTCAGTAAACTTAGGTTGAGATGATACAATCGTTTCCATTGATTTGTTCTCTGTCATCAGATCCATCTTAAGTTTTTTTGAAGGGACTTCGCTAAATTCATCGCTCTCGTTTTTCTTTTCCACTGCTGTAATAAAAAGCATGTTTAATTTAAACTGAATATAAAATTTACATTGTAACTTATATTAGATAGAAGTGTTATTTGTTTTCAAATGTCAGAAAAAAGTAAAAGATTTTATGAAAATTTGTTTTTTTCAGATATTTCTGAAAGTTTTCAGAATTTTCCAAAGTGTAACATAGCATCTTGATAAATATCAGATTGCGCAACTTTGCCATAATTTAACTAATCTAGCTTGTATCTCTTATGGTTTCCAAGATCGCAATGATGAGGCTCGAAAATCAGCCACCCTGTATACATAAATGTAGGAAATAAATAAGTTACAAAAACTGTGCTCCATTGACACAATAGGTACTTTATTCCTATTTTTTTGATTAAAAAGTAACTGTGATGCAAAAACATTCAGGGGTAATTTCTCGTTGAAAATTAAGAGACGTTTTTCGGAGGGATCTGTAGAATTTTTCATATGAAAAACTCCTATTAATTTTCATGAGTAATGCCCTGAATTTTATTACATTTATTTAGAACCTGCATAAATGTTACTTAAAATTAAAAATATATTAGCTATTGGATAAATATTTAGTACGTATATAGGTTACCTGATAACTGTTCGACATTTGGAGAAATATATTCCTTATGTGGAACATTCACGGATGGTACAGCATTAGGTTTTAACTTCCTTTTATCATATGACCCAATAAATCTAGTATAATAGTCTTCCACCTTAAAGTGGTTTGAGCAAATGACAATGGTTTTAACACAATCAGATTTTTCAAATCCACAAGCTAGTTTCCACTTGGCTTCCATTTCCTTATTTGTAGGAAATCTAAAGAAAAAGTTTTCTTTAAGGTAGGTACAAAAATAAAATATTCAGGGCTTCTTTCTTAATACAAACACTAACTGCTGAAAGTTACTGCACTTTATTACTACCTAACAATGTATTTTTATCGACAGCATTTCAGTAATTTGTCAAAAGAACGAAAATTTAATTACAAGAGCATGGCTTAAGTAATGCAATACCCATGAATATATACTATAAAAGTACGCATAAATATAATATCTATCAAACATATATATCGATTTTTGCATAATAAACCAGTTCAGTGTACAATATTGAATAATAATAAAAATATAATGTACTTACCCGTGGAGCTAAATTTCTTCGCTTTTCTTTGAACGACATAAGGCACAAAGTCTACCCATATCTCTAATACTAATAACTAACAACAAACAAAGTTTAATAAAGTTTTTGGTTAAAATATATACAGGATAATAGTCGCAATTATTAGAGAAAATACACCAAAGGACTAACACAACACATCAACACAAAACATAATGAGAATATTTTTAGGTTAGCTTGGCTTTCTTACTGTTTACCGTTCTTGGTTCCTTTCAACCAATCAAAACCCATAAAGGAAGCGCATGCGTATGAATACGCTGGTCCGTCGCCCCACTTTTCGGCTTCAAGTCAATCGCAAAATGATTAGTATAGGATAGAAGTATGTG